GGGCCGGCGGGCGGTCGGCCACCACAGGGACGGCCCCAGGCACGCAGGCCTGTCCCACGCGGCTGACTCCAGCCACCTGGCGGCAGAGGCACCTACCCCTCCACACTCCAAGTGCCCAGCGCAGCCGCTGCCCTCCCCTTCACTGGCCCCTCTGACAACGGCCCACACCTGCACTTGTACTTGCGCCCCAAGTTCCAGGCCAGCACCCAGCAGTGATCTGGGGGGCCCACCGTGCTCCCCAGTCAGGAGTGTCACCACTTCCCAGAGCTGGCAGGGACCCCCAAGAGGCTCTTACGGGCTCCCACCTGCGGGGGTCTGGGAGCCAGAGGGGATGAGAGCCCACCCTGGGGCCCTCACTCAGCACACCCCATTCCAGGCAGGGCAGGCACCTCCAGCGTGCAGGGCCCTAGTCCCGCACACCCTCCCAGAGCCCCTATACCAGCCGCTGGCAGAACCCAGCCCCAGAGGACTCTCGGACCCCAGATCCCAGGGACATCCACTGCCCACCACCACCTCTGTCAGGTCCTGCTCGCTGCAGCCCAGCCCCCCACAGTGTCCCCTCCCTGTCCCCACAGGCCTCTGTGGTGTCGCTCCTCGTGCCCTTCAGGAACAACAAGCACACAGCTCCGCCAGTCACAGCCCTCCTCCCGGCGTGCTCCAAGACCACCGCCAACCAGGTTCCGACCCCTGCCGCCTCCTGGCACGGCCTGGGACCCATATCCACTAGCACAGCGCCACCCCATGGGGTCACCTCATGTGTCCCCCGGAGCCACCTTGAGCACAATCTGCAGAACCCCTGCCCTCGCTGCCCGCATCACAGCCGGGTCTGCCTCACAAGGCAGCCCTTCCCCGCGGTGGGGCCAGTGGAGGAAGCAGGAGCGCAGGGGGGCCAGTCCGTCACTCACCCACAGCAAGCGCCTCGCCTTCCCAAGCTCCTTTCTGCTCTGTCAGCGAAGACCCCTCGAAGGCGGTCAAAGACTTCCCATGGCCAGTGAAAAGACTCAATCCAGGGACCAGCAGTTGGCTATGTCGCTGGACTCCCATGTAGCCGACCATGGTTCAAGTCCCGGACCCGGCAGCTTAAACTCACACCAGGCGCGTGCATGCCCAAGATCCCAAGAGGAGAATGGAGAAGGGACTGCGGCGTGGCCATCCCCCCGGGGGGTGATTTCTTGCTTTCTGTCTCTCTTTCTGGCGAATACATGTGCCTATAGCAAAACCTCTCCAAAAAAAAAAAAAGACAACTCACACGGCTACCAGTTTGGCAAATTCAGGGGTGAAGTTCAAGCCCTCAAATACCAGGTAAAAGTTTGTGACCACTGTTCTGTTACCCCAATTATTACTGCAATCATCAATTATTAGTGATCAATTAATTACCACAAATCATTACCAAGTACTCATGCCAGCCCCCAGCACAGAAGCGGGCCTGCACTCGGGGAGTTGGGTCCCACCTGGCTAACTGGGCTGTTCGAATCCCAGCCCCAGAAACTTGGGGAACATTCTAAATGCATGTGTGCGCACACCCGAAACCCCGACAGGAAGGGGCGGAGGGGGAGTGGCCGTGACCACGCCCCGCCGGGTGCTCCCTGACCGACCCCGCTGAGCATGCGCAGGCCCCGCTAGCAGTAAGCAGTGACTGACATGTCCTTCCACTGGACTCACACCTACCAGACTTGGCATGACATACCCCTCTGCCTGCCCTGCCCAAGGTGCCCTCCAAGGACACGCAAGCCTTCCCGTGGCTGCTCACCAGGGTGCCACAGGGCAGCAGCTCGTCCTTGCTCTTCCAGGACAGTGAGGCTGTCCCCGGGTCACGGACACACAGCAAGGGCCACCACTCCCAGGCCATCCCTGCAGGGCTGGGTGGCAGGCAGGACACATCTGCAGCCAGGCCTGCCCCCCGGGCTGGGCTCTAGCTGGCAGCAGAGCTGAGGTCCTACACCGACCCCATCTGATGACCACGGTGACCCCCACCAGGGAGGGCAAAGAGGCTGGGACGCACCCACCTGCACTCACCTGGTCTGTGCAAAATGGCTGAGCAGCTCCCAGAGGGTCTGGCCTGAACAGAAGGTGCCCTGCAGCCGGGGGCCATCATCCAGCTGCAAAGCAACACGCACCTGGGGCGAGACAGAAGGTTCTGACTGGGAGGTGGGCGGCCGTGCCATCAGCAGGTCTGCCTCACAGGGCAGTCCCTCCCCGAGGCAGGGCCAGAGGCACCCCCCAGGCTGCACCAGCCTGGGTGTATACACACGTATGTGCACATGCCATAGGAGAGAAACATCTGGAACAGCCCTCCAGCCCCGGAGGAGCCTCGGGGACCTGCAGCTCTGCTGACACCAACCCTCTGAGATCAAGCCAGCGGCCAAGGCTGCCAGGTTCTGGGGAGACTCGTCACATGAAAACAAGAGCCTACCACGCGGAGCTCTCTGGACGGGTTTCCCAGAGGAACACGGACGTCTGATGGCAATGACCCTGCCTCTGAACACCTGGGCTGGTCACAACACAAGAGGGAGAACCGGCAGCTCCCGGCCCCTGCTCCTGGACCCGCTGCGTTGGCCTGGCTCAGCTCTGCATCCCAGCCGACCCCGCTGCCTGGGCCAGGCGGCCCCTCCTCAGGCCTGCTCACAGACCATACTTGGAGCAGCAGTGGCCCTCGCAAGCTGTGTCTGTGTCAGCGCCCCCACCGGCACCCCGGGACTCCTTCCGTGCAACAGCTCAAGGACGGCTGCAATGGGGAAAGGCCAACACTGGGGTGTGTGGCCGGCTGCCTGGCTCCTGGCAGGGCTCTGGGGGCAGGCCTCCTCCTCTCTCAACAGGGTGGATGCGCACTTTCTGTGACCAGCAGGCGACATGGTGAAGGGTGTGGACTCCCACGTGGCCAACAACGGTTCAAGTCCCGAACCTGGCGGCTTGCTTTCTCACTTTCCTTCTCTCTCTCACTTACTCTGTCCCTCTCTGATCAAATTTAAATAAATAAGTACAGTTAAATAAGTAATTCTTTAAAACAGAAGAAAGGAAACACACCTCCCTGTGTGCTAAAACGCTGCTGCACACACAGGGACCTGGCGGGGGGTGGGAGGTGGGGGGGTGGGGTGCGGTCATAGCTGCTGGTTTCAAAGATCTCTAGGGTCTGAAAGGTCCCTGACCAGTAGGAGGCCATGGGCTACAGCCGAGGACACAGCCGAGGTCTCCTGAGGCCTGCTGAGGGTCCCTGAGCCTGGCCATGCCAGTCTGCGGAGCCCAGGGGTTGCCTGGCCACGTTCTAAGAGTCCTGGCGACTCTAGGACCAAAAACAACTGGGATACTGGCCAGACACGCTGACGCACCACGTGAGGAGGGCGAGTCTCACCTGCCGGTGTCGGCACAGGAGACCAGCCTGGCCCTGAGGTGGGGTGGCCTTGTGGACTACTGGGCAGTGGGAGATGCTGTTTGTGGAACCGGCTCGCATACAGCCAGCCGCAGTCGAGACCCCAGCCCAAGCGACTCAGAAAACCACACCTGGCGTGCGTACACGTGTGCCCCAAAACTCAACAGGACGGAAACACCAAGGAAAAAGTCCTGCAGCGTGACCATTCCCCACTGAGGGTGTTCCACCTCCGTTACTCCCTCTCTCTGCTGAGCACATATACCCCCAACAAATGAAAAAAAAAAGAGAATTGGGGCCAGCAGGTGGCGTAGTGGTTAAAGGTGTTGGATTCCCACGTGGCCAACTACGATTCGAGTCCTGAACCTGGCAGCTTGCTTTCTCGCTTTCCTTTTCTCTTTCTTTCTCTCATCAAATTAAAAATAATGATAATAACAAATGGAAATAAATAATTCTTTGGGGGAAAAATAATCTGAACAGGGATTATGGCAGTACCAAGAAGGGACCCCCAAAAATAGATGGGCCCCAAAGGCACCCCATCTGCTCAGCTTGTGGGAGCATCGCTGGTCCCAACAGTCCAAGCCAGAGCCAGAAGCAGCAGTGCCTGTCCTCCAGGGGCCACTTACCACATTCTCGGGCCCTTCACGGCTCCGGGACGCTGGCACCATCTCCAGCTTGGCATTATTAGGCAGGTTGGCGAACCTCCACTGCAGGGAGAGGTCGAGGACAGCCCTCTGAAACCTGCAAAAGCACGAGCCCGCACACAGCCCTCTGAAACCCACAAGCACAAGCCCGCGCACAGCCCTCTGAAACCCACAAGCACGAGCCTGCGCACAGCCCTCTGAAACCCACAAGCACGAGCCTGCGCACAGCCCTCTGAAACCCACAAGCACGAGCCTGCGCACAGCCCTCTGAAACCCACAAGCACGAGCCCGCACAGGCCAAAGGCCCCCCTGCAAACCCCAGAAGCACGAGCCCGCGCACAGCCCTCTGAAACCCACAAGCACGAGCCTGCGCACAGCCCTCTGAAACCCACAAGCACGAGCCCGCACAGGCCAAAGGCCAGGCCTGCCCACCGTCTGCACTATGGACTGCCACCCACAAGGACAAGAGGCAGGTCCCTGGCTACAGGGCCTTCCAGAAGAGAAGGAAGTTGGCATGGGGCCAACAGGTGGTGTGGTAGCTGGGGCGCTAGACTCCCACATGGCTGACTGCAGCTCGAGTCCCAGACCTGACAGCTTGCTTTCTCATTTACACTTTCTCTCTCCCCATCTGGTCAAATTAAAAATAATAACAAGTGGGACCAGCAGTTGGCGTAATGTCTATGTTGCTAGACTCCCATGTAGTCGACTGTGGTTCGAGTCCCGGATCCGGTGGCGTAAACGCACACAGGCGTGTGTGCACCCAAGATCCCGAGAGAATGGAGAAGGGATCATGGCGTGGCCATCCCCCGGGGGTGATTTCTCGCTTTCTGTCTGTTTCTCTCTTTCTGGTAAGTACACGCACCCTATAGCAAAAAAACTCTCAAAAAAGAAAAAATAGGGAACCAGCAGTTAGCGTAATGGCTATGTCACTGGACTCCCACGTAGTAGACCGCGGTTCGCGTCCTGGACCCGGTGGCTTAGAACTTTCGCCAGGCGTGTGTGCATGTGTGCCCAAGATCCTGAGAGGAGAATGGAGGAGAAGGGATTACGGCGTGACCATCCCCCCTGGGGGGTGATTTCTCGCTTTCTGTCTCTATGTCTCTCTGTCTGGCGAGCACACGCGCCCTATAGCAAAAACCTCTCCAAAAAAAAAATAGTAAAAAAAATTAAATAAAAAAATTTGGTAGTGATGGGCTTCAAGGGTGAGAAGACAGGGAAGGGGAAGGGGAAGGCAGCGCCAGCATCAGAAACCCCGAGGACTGCGCCTCTGGCGCGGACATAGGGAGGGGACCCCACAGGGCCATGGCGGGAGGGCCCACCTCGCTCAGTGTGGAAAGCGCCTGCAGGTCGGCCAAGCTGCCGCCGGCTGGCTGGAGCTGCAGCTCAGAGCAAGTCCCGCTGTGGCCACTCGCTCACATGCAGTCACCCACCAGAACGACCACCCTCCCTCACGCCTGCTCCCTGCCTTCCCGAACAGCCTCGAGCACGCTCAGCCCCCACAGGCCCCTGCAGGCCCGATGGTCTGACCGGTCTTCCTCACTCAGCACCAGGAGGGCCTCGGACGAGACCCACGGGCAGCTGGGCCACTCCGAGGCTGAGAGCCAGGGCCGCGGTGGGCGGCACGCAGTGGGGACTCACTCAACTGGACGTGATCCCTGTCACGGGGGTGGCTGGACTCAAGGGCCTGGCCTGGGCTGCCTGAGTGCCCCGTCCTCACGCCGGCTCTCCCAGAACCCTGCAGTTGTGCTCATCTGAGTCGGGGCTTCAGAGACACCGCGGCCATGTGGCCCTGCTTCAAGGGAGGCGGCAGGCAGAGCGGTCACTGGGAGAGTAAGGACTGACATGCAACCGGGGCGCCGGCTGAGTCCCAGTGGGGAGCCTCAGGGCTGGGGACAAAGTGGTATGAAACCTGAGTGTGCAGAGGTCGGCCCCACTGTGCAGACGCCCACGCCCTGCTGGAGACAAGGCTTCTCTTAACCGCGAGGTAGGCAGAGTCCGCAGGAGCCCAGGACACGCACAATGAGGACTGCCTCTTTTCATACCAGTTACGGGGCCGTGGACAGAAGGGAGACATGAGGGAACCAGACACAGGGCTGGTTGCAATGCTGAGCACCCCCAAGCCTGTCCTCACTGGCCCTGGCAGGCACCTGACATGGGCGCTTGGACCAGCCCCTCGGCCCCTGCAGCACAGGTCTAGCCTGGGCCTTCAGATGGCTTGCCTCCCTGGAGAGTCCCATGAGGAGGTGCGAAGAGGCCAGGCTGCCTGGCTGCTGCTCTGGGCCTCCTGGCCTGAGAACAATGACACTTAAGTTCTCCTCCAGGATTAGAAACCCACATTCCGGCCAGCAGGGGGCGTAGTGGTTAAAGCCTTGGACCCTACATGGTGGACTCCACGGTTCAAGTCTCTGACTTAGTGGCTTGAAAAACACACCAGACATGTGCATGCGTGCTCAAAAACGGAGAAGGGATTATGACTTGGCCGCCCAGCCCCAGCGTTTTCCTCTCTCTCTGGCAAGTACACACACTCCATTTAACATTTAAACATTTTTTAAAAAGGGACCGGCTATTGGCGTAATGGCTGTGAACTCCCATGTAGCCAACTGTGGTTCGAGTCCCGGACCCAGTGGCTTAAACTCACACCAGGCACGTGTGTGTGCGTGCCCAAGATCCCGAGAGGAGAACGGAGAAGGGACTGGGGCACGGCCATCCCCCTGGGGGTGATTTCTCCCTTTCTGTTTCTCTGTTTTTCTAGAGCGCGCACGTGCCCTATAGCAAAAATCTCTCTAAAAAATAAAAGGAAACAAGTCATGGGACCAGCAGGTAGCACAGTGGTTTTGGCGCTGGACGCTAGACTCCCTCCCACACGGCGGACTGCAGTATAAGTTCCAGATCCAGAGGCTTAAACTCACACCAGGCTTGTGCATGCCCAAGAGAAGAATGAAGAAGGGACTAAAAAATGGTCATCCCCCTTGGGGGGGGCTTCTCACTTTCTCTCTCTACCCAGTGAGCACACATGCCCTAGAGCCAAAAAAATCTCTCTTAAGAAAAAAAAATAGCCCACGTGTCCCAGCGCAGCTCCTAACCACCGTCTCAGGCTCCCAGGACTTGCCGAAAGCCCTCCCCTGGAACAACGCAGCAGAGCTGTATTTGCAACTCCAGGATGGAAGGCCACAGAGGTCTCAGGGTTTCTCCCCATTTCTCCAGGACTAGGTTTTTGCCTTCAAAGCCCTCCAGGGCTCGTATAACCCAACACGTGAAAACCTTCTGCAGCGGGTCGAAGGGTAGCCCCCCAAAAGCACGCTGACATTCTAACCCCAGAGCCTGCAAACATGGCCTCGTTCAGTACGCGAGCCTCTGCAGACTACTAAGGGCCTGGGGTGAGACTATGCGAATCTTCTGGGGCCCTAAACCCAGTGGCAACTCTCCCCACGAAACACAGAAGAGGGCAAGACCACCAGAGACGGAGACAGACTGGAGAGATGCAGCCACAGGCCGAGGGATGCCTGAAGCAAGAGATACCGGGAAAGGACGGTCCTCCCTGGGGCCTGGGGCCGACGGCCCTGCTGCCACCTGGATCTCGGAATTCGGCCTCCAGAGCTGGGTGACAACGACAGCCTGTGGTTGAAGCTCTCCAGAGGGGGCTATTCCGAGCCAGAGCCAGAAGGCCCAGGAGAGGGGGACGGCTGAGCGGGGCTCACTCACTTCAGATCATATTCGCGGGGGTTGAAGTCCTGCCGCCGGCAAGTGTCCTCCAGAACCTGGGAGTGAGATGGAAGGGCAGAGCGGCAGTGTGGCCAGAGCTGTGACAACCCAGGAGCAGAGCCAGACAGACAGGGCTGGCTTCCTGGTTGGGTGGGTGGTTCTGCCAAACCCACTACAGGGTCCTGCTCCTGGTGCCTCACCTGCAAATCCTGTCCTCTTTCCAGCTTCCTCTCTGAGGCCTACATCCTGCCCTACCACCCCCAGCTCTGTGTGGACCTAGCTCCCATGCCTGGTCCCCCAGCTCTGGGCCCATCTCCATAAATACCCACACCATACACCCCGCACACACAAAGTCCCACGGCACAGCCCCTCAGCAAAAAATGAAGTGCGCATTTTCTGACCTGGCCCCCTGCCCCCTCCCACCTGGCTCCTGGGCCTGCAGCACCCTGGCCTCTGCATCCCGCCTGAGGGGTTCCTACAGAGGCCCGGCCACAGTGTACCTGCAGCCCCACCTGGCCTGAGCGGGCTACACTCGCTGACCCTGGGTCCTGTCTGCCTTCGTCCCCACGGTCCCCACGCAGCAGGGACTAGAAAAATGAACTTCAAGTTGCAAGCTGACCCCAGCAAGTGACTCAGCGAAAACGCTTCCGGGGCACAGAAACCAGGTCGGGGAGGACGGCCCCGCGGTGGGACCGGACTGGGTACTCGATTTCCGGAGCCGTCGGAGTCGGCTCAGCAGAGCGCCGAGTACTCAAGAGACGGCGACAAGCGGCACGTCACGGACACGCGCTCT